TCAAAATCCTTTAAACAATCCCAAAGACCGATCTTTAACCAGTCCCAAAGACCAGTCTTTAACCAGTCCCAAAGACCAGTCTTTAACCAGTCCCAAAGACCGCATCTAAAGACCGGACCGGACTGGACCGGACTGGACCAACACAACCCTAATTACACCGCTAATATCATGCCTTTCAAAGATCGTAATCTGTACGGATCCATCAACGTGATTAATAGCAACATTCGTAATGCTCTATATGGCAAATCATTGCACAAAAACGTAATCAAAACCTGAAACAAGAAAGCTTAACAAGCTAAACATAAATCTATATAAGAAAAAGAGAAAAGGAAAATTTTATATAAATATTTATTTTATTGTAAATATCAAAAAAAAACAAGCTCAAAAAATCAAAACAATAATACATTTTTTTTTATATTTATATTAATTAAAAATTACGGGTAAACCATCAATCCGATTAATAATATTAATATTAGCAACATTACTCTCACTTGGCATTAGTATTAGTGTGTGGCTTTTTGCTAAATACGAATATGTAACGGTAGCCGTATATGGACTTATTGTCAAAATAAATATAAAAATTACGTTAGAAATTGCTCCTGGAACCACTACTACATTTCAAATTGAAATAAGCAAAACTTTTATTTCATAAATTAATCGAATGATTGCAAACACAAAGTATAATGAAGGTTTGTCATACATCAATCAAATTATACTTGCCACTCTATTCACTCGAAGGTAAAGCGAAGCCTGTAATCATTATTCCTAATTATCAAGCCAAAAATTGCTAAACAAGATCCCTTATCAACCAGGTGGGTAATAAAAGCTGCTTTTCGAGTTGAATTAAAAGAATACTTGAAGAAGAAGCAATGTGACCTCACCTTGGTCGTGCACAATCACCGAAAGTTATAGCTTGCAGGCCTCTGTGCAGTCATGTGCCTTGTATACCTTATCTAGTGACGTTTCCACAGTGTATAACGCCCTCTAGTCTTCCCGCCCGACCCTTTTTGCATACTTACGTTCCGCCACAATATCGTGAGCTGGCATTCACATCATTAATCAACAATATCAAATTTATGTTCTTGCTGGACTGGCCATAATATATTGATGGTGATAGATTTCTTTTTTGCTTTACTTTATATTCAAAAAATATAATAATACTAATGATAGCAATGTTTTAAGTAAAAGCCCTTGTTTTTGCCCCATCCAATTAAATAATTTCCTATAATTATGAAGCTGGCTTCTTTTTCGAGCTTGGATTATTAAAAGTCATGCTTGCTATTAAAGAATAATTAGTAAATAAGATAGCTTATAAATATATGGTATGAAGATTAGTATGTACGATAGCACACCACCAACAGCAAATGTAGCTTTAATCAATGTATATCACATGTATAGCAAGCTGTAGATGTCTTGGTATAATACGTTACATTTTTAAATTTAGATGCATTTCCTGTTAATTTCAAATATTTCTGCGGGATATTATGGAATACCAAATTTTGCTCCAATGCATGCACTTTCTAGTTTTCAAGTAACGGCGAATATATCTCACTGAAAAAAAAATAATATGATTAGCAAAAAAGAAAGCAATTTCAAATACAATTAAAAGTAATGTAAATAAAAATAAAATAGTAATTTAATTAATATAACTCGAGCCTTTTCTTTTTGATGACTGAATCACCATTATAATTAGCGGAGTTGTAAATCATTTACAGCGTGTAACGAAAATTATTTTGCATAACCAATAATAAAATGTTTTGTTTATTTATCTCTACCAGCTTTCTTATCTCTCATTGAAGACATTTATAAAATCAAAGGCTTCTATTTTTTATCTTTAGCATCTTATAAGCATGTGTTGCACGAAGATTGAGGTCTAACTTCAAAAATGGTTCACATTACATTACTGGCCTGACAATGCTCATTCATCAAGGAAAAATACATCATGAAGTGAATATTTCCTTTCGTACCATTGAACATAATTTCAAAATGCCTAAAGAATAAGTACTATTAAACATATGCAGGATGGTGGCTGCCTGATCCAAGGTTTTATATAATTTTTCAAAAACAATCGGATTTCTTTTATTTTTAATTGATAAAGTTCCAGAAAATATAGAAGCATGTAATTTTATATGCGAAATCTTAAACTACAATCTGTATTTATTTTTTTGTATACTTATTATATACATTTTTGCGTTAGAATAATTATTAAAAAATTTAACGTCAAAATTTTCAAGTCAAAAAATTTGTGAAGGTTTAAAAAAAAAAAAGTATTAGCTTTACAAAAATTGGCAATATTTAATTATGCTTTGCAATCGTGCAAACCCACCTTCATCTATCTTCAATATTTGTTGAGATATGCAACTTTTTGTCACCTAAAATCGCTTCCATAAAAATGTCTCAATTGATCCCATTTAGAATTTTCATTGTTGCCAAATGGGAAAAAATATAGAAAGTTCTAGTATCATAATAAAGACTTTAAAATTTTTTATTTTTTTCCCACACAACATTTTCTTACGTGTCTTAATTTTTTTTTTTTTAAAAAACAAAAAAATGCCCGATACTCGTGTTGTAGTTGGAATAGGTACAAAATTTATTAAAATATTATTTTACCACTTTTTATCGAACGAAAGTGTTAATTAACGATTACGATAATATTGCTAACTCCCATTTTTTTAAAAAATAATTAGATTTTGGAACAACCTATTCGGTAAATAGTCGTACTTACAATGATTTTTTTTTGTCAACTTATCTTTTGTCATTATTCTTCTTTTAACCGCAGGGATTTGCGTACTCGCATAGAGTAAACCCCGAGATTGAAACAAATCAAATTTGGCCAACAGGCGTAATGAACACATTTAAAATCAACACAGTATTGATGTATGATGAAAATGGTGATAAAATTGAATCGTGGGGTTTTAAAGCCTTGGTCAATAAAAAAGCGAGAAGACGTATCGATGACTCAAAAGATTCTAGACCTATTGAATTATTTAAATTACATTTAGGAAGAGATATAGAAACTTCAGAAAACTTGGAATCAAGATTAAGCGAAGTTTCTACACAGAATAGACTCGATTATAAAAAAGCTATTACTGATTATTTGGGTGAAATGGGTTTGTGTTTTTGTTAACAATTTGTGGATTAATTCATTAATTCATTAATTAACTGTTAATTTGCCAATTATAAAAACAACATCAATAATTATTTAGCCAAGGTAATGAATATAGTGCAATTTTTTTATTGTTATAATTTATTCTAACAAATTTTTTTATATATTGTTAGCTAATTAAAGATACCATCCAAAGAAGATGGAATGATTTAAACTTTTTCGAAAATGTTTTAATAGTTTTAACTGTGCCAGCGGTAAGTTTTATTTTTACATGGATGCACTTATTTTTTCAAAAAAAAAAATAATTTTGTTGTTATTGCCATTGTTATTATTACTATTATTATTATTATTATTATTATTATTATTAGGAATTTACTGATAAAGCAAAATTTATTATGAGAGAATGTGTATTCAAGGCAGGTTTAATTAACGAATTACACACCGAAAATTTGCAACTTACAACTGAACGTATGTGTATTGTGTGATTCTTTTTAATGTTATTGATTTACATGTATATGAGTGCGCAATATTAATTGCTTACTGGCTTATCCATTATACAATAACATGTTTAGCTGAAGCCGCTGCAATTTATTGTAGAAAAGTTTTGGGCGAACATTTCAAAGTTCCTTTTGGAAGTAAATAAATATTTTCATAATAATTTATTTTTTCAAAGGAAAATTTTTATTTAAGAATTGGTAATTAATATTTATTTTTTTTTGTTAGAATCATTTTTAATTGTAGATTGTGGAGGTGGAACAGTAGACCTGACAGTTCGTCAATTATTAGATGATCATAGTTTAGAAGAAAAAACAGAACGTTCAGGAGATTTTTGTGGTGGAGTCTTTGTTGATCAAGAATTTGCTAAATTCCTTGGTCAAAAAGTAGGACACCATGCCTTGAAATCTTTTAAAGAAAACCATTATGGTCGATATCAATATATGATTCATGAATTTTTTCATAAAGAAAAACATCGATTTGATGGCAACGAAAGTGAATTTGAAGCGATCGACTTTGACCTACAAGATTATGCACCATTTTTAATCGATTATATCACTGATGATTTGTTGAAAAGTAGATTGGAAGTGGATGAATGGCAAATCACATTAGAATTTCATCATATGAAATCATTTTTTGATCCTGTTATAAATAGAATTATTAGATTGATAGACAAACAATTAGAAAATGTAGAAGAATGTTCTGCAATGTTCTTGGTTGGTGGATTCAGTGAATCGAGATATTTACAAAATGTAATCAAAAAAGAATTTCATGATCGAGTCAAGAATATTTCCGTGCCTCGTCATCCTATGATAGCTGTTGTTAAAGGTGCAGTGGAATATGGTTTGAATATGAAGTGTGTTAAAAATAGAGTGTTGAAAAAAACTTATGGTGTCAAAATGTTCAAAGGTGATTTGTTAACTGTATTTTTAACCGAGGTCATACTTGATACGAAAATTCCGAATTTTCATACTCTTGTAACCCGTGGTACTAAAGTTGACGTCGACGAAGAATTCTCTGTTATTGGTACACCATTACATCCTAATTCGAAAACCGTGTCTATTGAAATTTTTGAAACATTAAGTTGTGCTCCTAAATTTTTTGATGAACCTGGAATGAGACAATTAGGAAAAATTAAAGTTGATTTACCTGAAAATACAATTACAAACAATTCAAATGGAGAATATTCATCAAGTAATGACAACAACCAAGATAATTTAGACGATGACGATGACGATGTGGATGATAAACGTTGCGTTGAAATAATTTTACGTTTTGGTGAGACAGAAATAAAAGCTATGGCTAAAGTTAAAGGAACTGGCGAAATTCAAGAAGCACTAATAAATTTAGAATTGTAATTTTATTATTATTATGTATTATTATTAGATGTATTTAGAATTTTTTTTGTAATTTTTTTTTTGTCAAAAACATTATAAATGATATTATGTAAATTACCGTATAGTTCAGAAGGATAGCATCCCAAAAATATTTGAAACAACTGTTACACGGTTTTAAAATTTGGATGCTATCTTCCCGGACTTTGCGGTATGTAAACATTATTATTATTATTATTATTTATTACAAATAAAGAATAAAATTAGTGGAGGGTTTTTTTTTCTTCATATGTAGGTTCGGTTGATGGTGTTACTGATGTTGCAAAAAGTCTTGCCCAAAACGTGACTTGTTAGCAACACAATCTATTAGATGGTGGCAATAATTGGTATTATCTTGTGAAGATAGACATAAAGTGATTTTATTACCTATACCAGCTGTTCCCACCACACACTAGGAATTGATAGCGTTTTTGTGCAATGATTTGCCATATAGAGCATTACGAATGTTGCTATTAATCACGTTGATGGATCCGTACAGATTACGATCTTTGAAAGGCATGATATTAGCGGTGTAATTAGGGTTGTGTTGGTCCAGTCCGGTCCAGTCCGGTCCGGTCTTTAGATGCGGTCTTTGGGACTGGTTAAAGACTGGTCTTTGGGACTGGTTAAAGACTGGTCTTTGGGACTGGTTAAAGATCGGTCTTTGGGATTGTTTAAAGGATTTTGATGTGAATCACATATTGCAAAGTAGCTTTTTGGTCGATCTTGATTATCTTACATTTTATGACCAGGTTCAAATTAACTTTTTACACTCATCAATTATTTTATTTTACAAATTTATCCTGCTTACTACCTAGAAATCTTTGGCAACAAATAACAATGAATTTCACGAAAAAACTCCCAAACTGTATTCTTTTGAATATTATTTGTATGTGGTGATGTTGTTGTTGTGGATGTTGTTATGGATGGTGATGAAGATGTTAAATTACTAGATATATTAGAAACTGAATCTTCAACATAAATGGTTTCATTTTCATTAAGAAACTTTTCTTCCCCTTCGAAATTGTGATTTAATTCCTCCGAGGACATCATAGAAAGCCAATCTTCAACTAAGTCTTTGTTTTGTTTTGTTGTTATTATTGCTACTGCTCCTATTTCTGCTATTCTTTCCATTACTATTTCTGTTTTAATTATCAATAATAATATTATTATTAATACCTACTACTGTTATATCATTAAGTTATATTAAATAAACTATTGGTTTTTATTATACATACTAAATTATTATCATTGATTTTCTATTATTAAAGTTCCTTAGTATTAGCCTCAAAAAGTGAACAATGTAAGAATTAATTTTTTAACAAAAGTTTGGCCTTCAATAAAACATAATAATAATGAACAAAATAAAAAAAAAGATCATAAAAATTTTATTGTTCAAAATTTCCTTATTAAGAAAGATCAGCTGGCTTATAAAGACTGGCCCTGATAAAAAAAGGGTTGCGAGAAAATATCCCAGTAAAACACAAATGCAAAAATTTTCTTCTCTAGATAATTATTGGTTAGAAACTTCTCCTAACAGAAGATTAGGCGAACCCTGAGCACCTTTGTAATTTTATATGCGAAATCTTAAACTACAATCTGTATTTATTTTTTTGTATACTTATTATATACATTTTTGCGTTAGAATAATTATTAAAAAATTTAACGTCAAAATTTTCAAGTCAAAAAATTTGTGAAGGTTTAAAAAAAAAAAAGTATTAGCTTTACAAAAATTGGCAATATTTAATTATGCTTTGCAATCGTGCAAACCCACCTTCATCTATCTTCAATATTTGTTGAGATATGCAACTTTTTGTCACCTAAAATCGCTTCCATAAAAATGTCTCAATTGATCCCATTTAGAATTTTCATTGTTGCCAAATGGGAAAAAATATAGAAAGTTCTAGTATCATAATAAAGACTTTAAAATTTTTTATTTTTTTCCCACACAACATTTTCTTACGTGTCTTAATTTTTTTTTTTTTAAAAAACAAAAAAATGCCCGATACTCGTGTTGTAGTTGGAATAGGTACAAAATTTATTAAAATATTATTTTACCACTTTTTATCGAACGAAAGTGTTAATTAACGATTACGATAATATTGCTAACTCCCATTTTTTTAAAAAATAATTAGATTTTGGAACAACCTATTCGGTAAATAGTCGTACTTACAATGATTTTTTTTTGTCAACTTATCTTTTGTCATTATTCTTCTTTTAACCGCAGGGATTTGCGTACTCGCATAGAGTAAACCCCGAGATTGAAACAAATCAAATTTGGCCAACAGGCGTAATGAACACATTTAAAATCAACACAGTATTGATGTATGATGAAAATGGTGATAAAATTGAATCGTGGGGTTTTAAAGCCTTGGTCAATAAAAAAGCGAGAAGACGTATCGATGACTCAAAAGATTCTAGACCTATTGAATTATTTAAATTACATTTAGGAAGAGATATAGAAACTTCAGAAAACTTGGAATCAAGATTAAGCGAAGTTTCTACACAGAATAGACTCGATTATAAAAAAGCTATTACTGATTATTTGGGTGAAATGGGTTTGTGTTTTTGTTAACAATTTGTGGATTAATTCATTAATTCATTAATTAACTGTTAATTTGCCAATTATAAAAACAACATCAATAATTATTTAGCCAAGGTAATGAATATAGTGCAATTTTTTTATTGTTATAATTTATTCTAACAAATTTTTTTATATATTGTTAGCTAATTAAAGATACCATCCAAAGAAGATGGAATGATTTAAACTTTTTCGAAAATGTTTTAATAGTTTTAACTGTGCCAGCGGTAAGTTTTATTTTTACATGGATGCACTTATTTTTCCTAATTGTCTCATTCCAGGTTCATCAAAAAATTTAGGAGCACAACTTAATGTTTCAAAAATTTCAATAGACACGGTTTTCGAATTAGGATGTAATGGTGTACCAATAACAGAGAATTCTTCGTCGACGTCAACTTTAGTACCACGGGTTACAAGAGTATGAAAATTCGGAATTTTCGTATCAAGTATGACCTCGGTTAAAAATACAGTTAACAAATCACCTTTGAACATTTTGACACCATAAGTTTTTTTCAACACTCTATTTTTAACACACTTCATATTCAAACCATATTCCACTGCACCTTTAACAACAGCTATCATAGGATGACGAGGCACGGAAATATTCTTGACTCGATCATGAAATTCTTTTTTGATTACATTTTGTAAATATCTCGATTCACTGAATCCACCAACCAAGAACATTGCAGAACATTCTTCTACATTTTCTAATTGTTTGTCTATCAATCTAATAATTCTATTTATAACAGGATCAAAAAATGATTTCATATGATGAAATTCCAATGTGACTTGCCATTCATCCACTT